ATCAACAAAACCTCTTTCAATATTAATAGATTCCATTCTATCTTTAATATTTTTTAAATCATTAACAACTTTTTCTTGATAGATAAGGAATTGCTCACGATTTGAAGTATAATAATGCAATGGATAGTTAAATCTTTCTAATATACATGTGTAATTAGATTCTTGTAATATACGTAATTTATTAAACGGTACTAAACTTGTATTCATTGTATTTGTCATTTTATTTATTTATTTAAAGGTCAACGAGTAAATAATCCAATATGTTAATATTATGTGACTTTACTAATCACTTGTACTCAGGTTCACTGGCTTGCGTCCTGAGGGTTTATATGCAGCCTCCTTCTTATTATTAACCAAGAGGTATTTTCTGATTATTAATTATTAATTAATTAATAATTGTCTAGGTAGGCTTTGGATTCTATTTATTCAATAATGAACTGATCATTTGTATACCGTCACTTAAGAAATCAATCTTAAGATCTTTCCCTTCCTGTTCAAGCCGGGATCTTTCTCTATTGGCTGTATAGCATCTTTAAAATCATTAAACCCCATACCTACAATAGTATACAAGGTTTAATAATTTCTACCTATACAAACATCGATTTTCATTACCTCCTTAATAATCCACACGCTCTCATTATGATACCCTTAACATTTTTCAGCCAGAAAGAAAAAGGTAAACTTTTAAAGTTTAGACAATATGCTGGTAAGTATAAAGGATAAAGGATAAAAATATATAGATTTCATTAATAGAATTAGACTTCGAGTTGTTAACACGAAAGAATTTCCACAAGATGAAAAATAAGAGGGAAGTTTACTAACACCCATAGTAAAAATTAACCTCAAACTTATTACAAATTAATAAATTTATTAATTATTCTATTAATCTCGAAGTACAAATTTTCATACTTCATCTTGCTCTTCATTAAACCAGTACTTTCTATATTAACTCATTTTAATGTCATGAGAATTTATAATTACTACTTACTTTTATCCCCTCAAAAGATAGCATACTTAGTTAATTATCTGTTCAAGAATACAGATCTATTCCTAAAAAGGAACGGAAAACTAAGAAACCGACTAATTCTTAATCCATCTGAGTGTATCCATCAAGATTAAAATAAAACCAGTAGTATGATTAATGCCTTCTTTATTGATTAGACATCAAAAATCTTTTTACCTATTCAGAGCTTTTGTTTTATCACTAAAGATCCATAATTTCCTTTCCAGTGGAAACTCTTTAATCTCAAAACCTACACTCGAGGTTTTTATTAACAAAACTATTCAAGTAAAACACTTAAATTTTTCAGTGTTTTACTTAAATTTTAAGATAATTTATAAACTTTATTTATTATTATCAATATTTATTACTATATGGTATTAAAAACTAATTAATTAATTAATTAATTAATACGCATAAATAATATCGAGGAACTTTTTTTAATATTTAATTTTTCTTCTTTATAAGCTAACCAATAGCTTTTACAATAATTTAGACTTTTGAGCACTTGAAGGAATTGAACCTTCGGATTTCCATCCACAGAGGAATATTTTACCATTAAATTAAAGCACTATTTTTACCATTAAATGAAAGTCTTACTTATAGAAATAGAAATAGAAATAAATATTGGTTTTATTGGTTTTTTATTATTCATTAAATAAGCTTGTAAAAATATTAAGTAAATAAGCCTATTTTAAATCAAAATTTCGTTATCTTACCCGTTTAGGGGGCTATGAATAAACATTTTTCTTTAAGATTTTTAATCGAAAAGTCTGAGTAATTAAAGTTTAAAGTATATTAAATAAAATATTACAAATTCAGTAATTAGAAAAAGAAAATATTTGTATAACGTAAATTAATATTTAATCACTCTGTTTACCTTCAATTAAATGAAGTGATAGTTAGATACACATGTTTACATGTCTTTGTCTAACCCTGTCGTATTAAACTTATACGAACCGAACTGATGGAATATTTTTAGAAATTCTTGATAAAGTAATTTTGATGATCCCACAACTCTAGGGTCTAATATATATATAATAATTATAATAATTATTATTATTATTATTTGAGTTCAGCTTGTCTCTGTTACTTTAATTTATTTCTATCATTTTAAACCACCTTCTTCTTATTTATGTATGTAAATAAAATAAAATCAAATAAAATCCTATGAAAGTTATAAATCCTATGTTAAATCGAAATATGAAAAGTTATTTTCAAAATTTGACAGTGGTTTATTAGTTTCTTTTATACTTTTATAAAGGTTTTTTATAAGATCTCTGTTATTAGCAAGAGGATTTAATTTATTAACAATAAATCCTTTATTAATTTCTATACTAGAAATAATATTGAAAACTTTTAGAGCTGTATATTTAGGTGCTACATTAGTGATAATATCTACTAATTCCCTTCTTTCTTCGAAAGAAGTATTAAATCCCAAATTATTAATATAACTTCTTATGAAGTATAGGATTGTCTCCTGTGTTATATTTGTAGAAGTTTTAACAATTTTCTCATCTAAATTTCTGTTATAAACAGCGCCTTTTAGAGATTGTATTAGAGTTCTATTTAATAAACAATCCTCAATATTTCTATAAGGTTTAGTGTCAAGCATAGAATTGTTATCATTTAAAATTAATCTTTTTGTGTCAAATATTGTTCTAAATCTTCTTAAGGATGAAACCATTGTAACATGTTTATTTTCTTTATAAGTTTGTAACGCTCCTGTTAAGGTATTTTGTAAGAATAATATTTTATTACCTTTTCCAAGAGCTGATTTAACAATTTCAATACTTTTTTCATGAATTTCTTCAGGTGCAGATGTTAAACCTCTTGTCTGGAACCCTGTCATTGCTCTAATAGGATCAGATTTGTTACCTGATTCATCAATATTATTTAAAGATATTTGACCTCTAGTAGTCCATTGGATTAGCCCTTCTACTGTTGTTTTTAACTCTAAAGCTGAAGGGTTCCCTGATAACTCACTTCTAATATTTCTATATATATTTATTAAATCTGATTCAATTAATTTCACTTTCTTTTTATAATTATTAATTTCTCTTGAGAGGTTAAGAATTTGTTTACTAATAAGAATAATATTTAAAGAATTGCTTAAACCGGAGGTTATTCTTGAAAATCTGATTCATAATTTTATGTATCGTCAGAAAGAATTTACAAAAGATCAATCTATTTCTTTCTTTCTCATCTTTGTGAAGAATCCTTGATATAAATCAGTATTATTCACAAAATAATTTAAACCTGAATCTCATTTATAAGGATCATATCCTAATTTATTTGTTCTTTCTAAGAATTTTTGTATTTCATTTTTAAAATCAACTTCTAATTCTTCTTGTACCATTAGTAAATTTTGTTGTGTTTTAAATATTTCTTTGTAAATTTTTGCATATTTCCCATTAAATTCGATATATTCCAATGGTGTGGTAAAAGATGGGTTTTTACGATCTATTTCAGTATTTAAAACTTCTCCTAATTTATTCTCAATTAAATCTTCATCAAAGTTTACAGAGTTTGAAATATTTATATAATCATAATTATTTAAAGGTCCGTAAATATTTAAATAATCTTTTTCCGTTAATTTTCCCGAAAATTTATTTAAATTATCAAGTAATGTATAGTTAACCTTAATAAAATTACAATTATCGCTAATATTTTTTAATTCTTTAATTACGAATTGGTTAAAGGATTGTGCAATTAATATTTCTTTTTCAAGTTTTATTAATTTTAATTTATTTTCCCTTCTATTTATTAAAACAGAATTATCATTAACAATATCTAATGATTCATTTATTATTAAATCTTCAAGATTTTTAACATTTGTTACAAATCCATCAGTTGTAACTGAACATATTCTACCACCCATACTGTCTACTTTATTTAAAAGTTCAGCTAATAAACTACGCACGAATCCTGTAATCCATGAACCAATGATTGGATTTGCCAAACTATTCCCTTTTGTTGGCATCATTGATAAAACTCTAGAATCATAATTTCTTCTATCTGAGATACCACAAACTACTTTACCATAAAGCATGTTACCCAAATCCTTGTAGATTCTTTCCATAGAAGATTTTTTAGGATATGATCTACGCATTCTTTGTAATTCATTAATTACACCTTTGAATGGGTAGTAACCATCCTTTTTAAATGGTATGTAAGCACCTGAAATTAATTTGATGTAATAATCTTTTCTTTTTAAGGAAGGAAAATTATTTAAAACATTATTTAATAATTTACATGCTGTTAAATATTCTATACCTGTAACTAAACTTTCACCTTCTAATGGATAAATTGTTAAATTAGAATCCAAGTTAACAGGAAGAGGTGGATATTTAATACAATCGGGGAATTTAAACTTAACTCTTACAGCTGCGTAAGAATTGTTAAATTTATTTAAAGTGGTATGTGAATCAACATAATTAGCTCTTGAGTAATCAGGTTCTCCACATAATGACATAACTGTTGCGTAACAAGATGTTAAATCATAATCATATCATCTTGTATGATTGTCAATCCCATAAGCAAAACTTTCATTACGACCACCTCTGAAAGCACCTACAAAGAAGTTTAATACTTCACCTGTAAATCCTAAACTTGTAATACCTCTTGGTGTACAAGATTTTTGTGCATCACCTAATGGGTAGTTGGGGTGTACTTGGTAGCCTTTGTAACCATCATTTGCCCATTTCTTATTAATATAAAGAGAAGAAATACTTCCTAAAGTATTTGGTAAAGTGGGAGAACCCAATCTAAAATTAAAATCATTCATGAATAAACCATGAATTAATGTGATTAAAGAATCCTGCATTGCATAATTTTTAAATAGATCAGGATTTTCTATTAAAAGTTTATCCATATTTTGTTTATAATCTAAAGAAACATCAAGTTTTTTCAAATTATGTGGAGCACCAACTCTGTCTAAAGTACTAGCTGCAGCAGAAGATAATAATAGAGTGTCCCTAATAAAGATTTGATGACCTAAACTTTTTATAGGTCTTTTTAAACTAGCAAAAGATTTTTTCAAAATGTCTATATTTTTATATGAAACACCAGTTTCACCCATTCAATCTTGTAACATGGATAAGTCAGCAGCATTGTAATGACATAGTAAATAATTTTTACTTTTAAGGTGAATTGTAAAAGTTGTGTTTAAAGCTTGAAAACTACTTCTTTTACTAATTTTAAAATTTTCAGAGTTAGATAGTTCATCATTTTGTTGATTTGATAAAAAGATTGTTTCAACTTCTTCTTGAACTAAACTATCACCATTCCATGAAAGAGTCTCTTTATTTTCAAACCCTAATTTATCAAATATAGAACTTTCAAATTTTAATTCTGAAATAAATTTTGCTAATTTACTTTTTTCAGATTCCATTTTATCATTAATAGAATCATTTATTATTTTAATTAGAGTATTAAATTTAATTTTTAACTCCTCATCTTCTTTAGCAAGGATAAATTTATTTATAATAGGAGTCTTTTTGAATTGAAATATATAACCTTTATCATTTCTATTAAAATTATCGATAAAAGTATTATTTTTAATAAAGTGATCAGCTATTAAATCCATGATTTTATCATGGTTTTTAAATTTTAAATTTCTATTATACCTAATTGATAATGTTATAAACCGAATTAAATCATCTAATTCTTCGAACGCAGGATTTCTTTTAATATATAATTCCGCTGTTAAGGTGTTAACACCTTCAAATTTATAATCTCTGAATAAAGGAACTTCTAATTTTAAACCACCATTTATAGACAGTTGAGCAGATAATAATTTATTTTTACCATAATCAATAGGAAGATATTCAGTATCAAAACCTGTATAAATATCTGCTGTTATACATAAACTACTTTTCTTAAAATGTTGTTTTATAGAAGCATCAAGGATAGAATAAGATCAATTGGCTAGAACGCTAAATCTAGAAATCATGTCTAATACAATTAAATCATCATTTGGATTTTTTATATCATTTAAAATATTTAAAGCTTTGTTACAAATAGTGTGGTAATTTAATAAGATTAAATTAATTAATCATTTATACAATATTAACTTATTTAAACTACTGGTTTCAAACCAATAAGATTTAGATATTAATTTTTCCGCTAATTCACAAACAATAGGGTAGAACATGGAATTGAAAATATTATCATTATCAACAAAACCTCTTTCAATATTAATAGATTCCATTCTATCTTTAATATTTTTTAAATCATTAACAACTTTTTCTTGATAGATAAGGAATTGCT